AGGGTCTGGGAGGGCTGCTCCTCGCCTGTCCCGGCCTTTCTGGGAGTGGTCATCTGGCGTGGGAGCCCAGCTCTTCAGGTGCAGGCATCCCTCCCGCTGGACCCATTAGCAAGCTAGACCACCTAGCTAGGAGTGGCAGGTCCTGCGGCCCCACCCTGCTGTCTTCTACTCAGACACCCCGAAGGACCAGGAGAGGGTGGGTCACCTGGACTCTCACACCCAGGCGCCCCGCCCCTCACCTCCTCCCCGCCCATCCGCGACTCCTCGTCGTCCTCCTCCTCCTCCCCGTCGTCCTCCAGCGCGTACTCCTGTGTGAACGGCACAGCTCCCTCAGCCGAGTGGAAATGCAGGCGGTAGAGCAGCCGCACCCACTGGCCGAACTCACGGTCGCGGGTCTCCGGCGGGGCCCGCAGCTGCAGGTAGAAGACACGGCCAGTGCTGAACTTGACCTTGAGCTGCCGGCGGCATTCATCGTGGACGAACAGCTGGACGAACTGCAAGGGAAAGAGCCTGCGCCGGCGGGCGGGAGGGCGGGCTCAGGCGGCTCTGCTCACCGTCCAGCCTGCCCCCACCACCCCCGCGGCCCTCTGCCCGGGAGGCTTCCGTTTTACTTTCATTGCGTGTTGAATTAAGCTCATCCCAACCTCCTTCCAGCCTCCCATCCCTTTTGTCTCCCCTGGGCCTCTTCCTGAACCCCGGACCCGAACATGCCTATGTGACATGCCCGTTTGGACAGTGGATCGACCACGGTCCCATGATGTGTTCAGCAACCACATCCCTGAAGGCCTCCCCTTCTCCAAATCTGCCCCTCTGGGTCTTCACGTCTTGGCTACATCCCTACACTTGCTCTGGGAGTTGTCCTTGATTCAACTTTCTTTTCCATACCCATATCCTATCGTGCCACCAAATCCTGATGGCTCCACCTCTAAAACATACCCATAATCCAACCTTCTCTAACTCCACGGCCACCCTAGTCTTCTCAATTCCAGGGCTTTGCCTGGCAGGCTTACAACCAGTTCCCCATGAGGCCGCCAGAGGGCGCCAGTCAACACTTTACCTCCACTCTGCGCCAAAAAGCTCACCTGAAGTCCAAGTTCTCACCACAGACCACAAGACCCTGTGGGATCTGATCTGCTGTTATCTCTGCACCTCCATCCACACCAGCTTTCTCTCTGTCCATAAACACAGCCGGCTCTGACATTCCCCAGGACCTTGGCACAGGCTGTTCCCTCCACCTGAAACCCTCTTTCTCTAGTCATTTCTGTGATTCCCCTATTCATCTCCCTCATCTCTCTCTTGGGCAATCCTTCTCAAGGAGGTCTTTACCACTGAGCATCTACCACTAAGCCACTTTACCACTGAGCTACAGTGGTATTTTGAAACAGAATTGAATTTACGATCCTGGCCTACATACAACCACGTCCATCTTCGTACACCTCTCTTGGCCCTCCCCTATCTCCTCACAGACCATACCCTGACCAGCAAATTGCCCTTTATCCTATCTGCCTTGTCAATAGAATGTGAGTGACCTGAGGGCTCTGAGTGACCTGGTCTGGCTTTTTCCAGTGCCGTTTTCCCTGCATCCTGAGCAGATGTTAGCGGGTGCTCAAGGGACACTTGTTACATATGTGAATAAATGAACTGCTCAGGCCCCCAGTTGGACTGAAATTTCAACAAGATGGAGTAGGAAACAGTCACTGGGCTGACAACTTGGCCCAGGCCACACAGCTGAGATTGGGACCAAGACCTGTGTTCATAACCACAAAACATTCTTAATGACAACTGGGCAGCCACATCCAGCTCTGTTCTGGCAGTGACCTCCAAGAATTGATCTAACAAGACACCCTCACCCCAGTGCACAGACGTATCCACACAGATGTCCCCTGCCTCGCTGGCTGTAACTCCAAGTCAGTGGACAAAAACCAGAGTCCCACAGTGGGCAGCTTGACTATGCCCCCATACGGAGGAGGAGCTGCTGGCCTCCACAGAGGGCTGGCTCTGCCAGGTGCTGCTCCTGCACCTCACACCGACTCAGTTTACCCCCCAACAGCCCTGGAAGTGACTTCCCCTCATTCCCACTTTCCAGATGAGGAAACGGAGGCACAGATGGGAAGCTTGGCCAAACCCAGTGAAGAAACCTTGAAGGCAGGATTGAACCCAGACCATCTGCAGGCAGACTGGTTCAAGGACGTCCCCTGCCACATTGTGACAAAAGCTTGTTCAGGGTGTATGTCCTGGGGGCAGCGTCTAGTGCGGAGGAGGGAGCCCAGCAGGAGGCAGTGTGCACACTGCTGCTGGCACAGAAAGGTGAACACTCACATGTGCCTGTCAGCCACAGCCCAGGGCTGTACCCTGGGCACCCAGGGTGAGTCCCCAGGCCCTGTCTGCAGAGCAAGCTGCTTGTTTTTCCTTCAGTGGTCTATTTGGGGCAGGGAGCTTAGGAAGCTGAAGGAGATGATGGAGGGTCAAAGTCTCCCCTTAGCACGGTGCTAGTGTTCTCCAACTGCAGGTGATCTCCTGGCGGGTGGTGAGATCAACTGGGGGACCCAATAAGCTTTATTTTGGTGCTAGGGATTGAACCAAGGGACACTTAACCACTGAGCCACATCCCCTGCCCGTTTTATTTTTCTATTTTGAGACAGGGTCTCAGGTTGCTCAGGGCCTCACTAAATTGCTGAGACCAGCATTGAACTTGTGATCCTCCTGCCTCAGCCTCCTGAGCACTATGATTATAGGTGTGTGCCACCATGCCCAGCTCACAATTAGCATTTAAGATATTTGAAAAAAAAAAAAACACAACAGTGACAGGATAGTGCTTTGTGAAACGCTCTCCACTTAGGTGGGGGGATAACTAAAGGCTGTGAACCTCCAGTAGGCTCAGATACATCCCTTCATTCTTCACTCCTTACTTTCTTCCCTCCCTTACCTCCTCCTCTCCCCAACCTGCCATCTCTTTCATTAACGATGAGATGTGGTCAAAAAAGTAAAGTCCCTGGCAGCGCTGTCTATAAACTCAGCCTGTGCTTCTGGATTTGCAGCTGGAGTTGGGGGGAGGAGCCTAGGATGGGAAAAGGTATATCTCCTGCCATGTCACTTTTGTCCTTGTATTCGTGTGTGCGGGTGCACGTGTGTCACTGGGGACTGAACTCAGGAGCACTTTACCACTGAGCTACATCCCCAGCCCTTTGTATTTTTTATTTTGAGACAGAGTTGAATTCATGATCCTCCTGCCTCAGCCTCCCAAGTCACTGGGACTACAAGTGTGCACCATGGTGCCCAGTGTGGGTTACTTTTTAATGAAAAAATAAGACCTTGAGGGGCAGTATAGCATGTAACATGGCAGTGGGATTCAGGAATTAGGAGATCTGAGATTACAAGGAATGTGACCCCTGGCCCACATGGGACCCTGGGAAACTGTTCCCTTCTCTTAGCCTCACTTTATTTCTTTGAAGGATGGAACTAAGGAGCCCCACCATGAGGATATGAGGTAAAATGTGGCTATGTGCATGGCCCAAGGGCACCTGGCATGTAGTAGGCACTTCATAAATGGTCACTGTCCTGACCTTTGCAGGGTGTTGCTGAGAACTGTCCCTGCCCTGTTGTCTAGTCTCTGATTTCTGGTTCCTGTGGACTGCCCTGTCCTCTTTCTCCTGGATGTACAGCTGCCCAGAGGGCTGAAGCCACCCAGTGCTCCTGGGTGGTCTGGGTGAAAGGAGCTGCTGCCAGAGGCCTGGGTTCCCCAAGCGGAGGGAGGAAGTGGTCTAGGCCTAGTTGGGACAGTCACCCGAGGAGTTGCAGGCGTCCATTCTCCTTGGCAGGGCCAGCCAACAGCAAGAGGTCTGGGAGTTCCAGGGCTGGACTCGAGGCTGCCACCCCCATGGTGACCTTGTTGGCAACTTCTCCAAACCGGGTCACCTGGGACCAGAGATCAGAGATTAGAGGCAAGATACAGGGGAACATTGGAAAGGAACTAGAGGTCAGGAATCTTAGTAGAATACAAGGTCATAAACCAAGGGAGTAAACATGGGGCTAGGGGCCAGATACCTTGGGATTAAAGACAAGAACTGAGGGTGTGAAGTCAGGGAAACTGAGACAAAGGACTCCAAGGCCAGAGTTCACAGACAAACCAAAGGGCCAGAGATATGGGGTGGGAGGTGGTCAGATGGCACAGGTGCAGCTGGAGGTCCACAACTGTGCAAGGATTATGGGGAAATAGCTGGAATGGCAGAAATGGGGTTCCCCAAGACAGAAGGATGAAGGTCGGGCCCAGGCTCTGGGCCGAGGTGCCCAGACTTCACACCTGCATGAAGTTGCTCTCAAAGATAGGGAAGTCCCGCAGCTGGTCAAACTCGCCGCTCAGGAGGTGGCGTTGGAGCCGTCCAGGTCGTCCCTTGGGATACGCTGGAAACAGGGGACGTTCTAGAAGGACAAAGTTTGAGGGTCTATGCCAAGAGGTTGAGCCCAGACCCCCCAGAAGGTCGGGCCCAGAGCAGCACAGTGCTGAGGCGATGGTATGGGGTATCTCCGAAAAGCTGATCCCATGCCTTACTCTGTGCTCACCAGGTCCAACCCCTCCAGGCCTGGCTCCGCCTCCCTCGTACCATCCCACGTCCAATCTCATATGTCCCCCCTCACCTGCTCCACCAAGGGCTGGCTTAGGATGGTACCCCCGCTTCATCGCAAAGCCCAGAGCCCTGGTGGGAGCGAAGGGAGGAGCCGGGGTAGAAAACCACACTGACGAACTGCGAGCGCTGTGACGTCATAACGAGAAATCCAAATTTGATGACGTCATAGAAGTTCCTAGAACGGCGGCGTCACCTGAAAAGCAGGCCCTCGAGACCCGGATAAAGGGGCGGCAGCCCGATGACGTCAGGCCCTGGTGCCTGCGGATGCACGCCAATGCGCAGGCGCAAGGGGCCGACGCAGGCGCAGTTGTGTCAGGATGCAGCCGGGTGCTCCCAGCGTGCTCCGCGGTGCTTGGTTCACATCCTCTAGGTTGATGGGAAAGCGTTGAAATGGCGGCCGCCGGCGCCGGGGCCGCCCGGCTGCTCCTGCTCTTGCTGATGGTGGCAGCAGCTCCCAGCCGAGCCCGGGGCAGCGGCTGCCGGGCCGGCGCCGCCGCGCGAGGGGTGAGTGCCCATCAGCTTCGTGGACCAGGAGAGGCCGACGGAAGTCGTGGGACTGTAGGTGGATTAAGGTGGTGACGAGGCCGGGCAGGGTGGAGAGGAAAGATGAGAGGTGAAGGAACCCTGGAGAGTGAGGCAGGCGTGGGAGGGCGCCAGGCCCGGCACCAGCCCGCCGCCACCTGGAGGGAGAGCCGCGGACTGTGGGGGCCTTGGCGGTGAACGGGAAGGCAGGCTGCCGGAGGCCTGGTCGGGCACGTTCGCTTCGGCTGGGGCGTGAGGGGCCCGCAGTTCGTGGACACGCAGGAGCGGTGTGGCCAGGATGGAATCCTGGCGAATCAGACGTCAAGGTGATCAAAATGAAACAAAGGCGCGCGGGCTGCTCCAAGGCCTGGAGAGGAGTTTAGTCTCTTGAATATGCGTCAGGATACCCGGTCGCGCAGGAGCGAGGCGTGAGGAGGTGGAGAGTGCAGAGCAGAGGACATTTGAAGGGTTAGAGAGAGAAAGGCGGAGAATCCTGAGTGTACTTGGTGGGGGCGGTACTTAGGCAGCATCTTGGCTGTTGGGACTTTTAAGGTGCAAACGAGGACATTTAGATATTAGCAACCAAAGGAGCCCCCGGGGAGAAGGGTTTCCTATATTTATAATGCAAGGCATGAAAGTGACTGGGAGTAGTTGCCTTGAAAATAAGAGTATATCCTAAGCATGTCTGTAGGGTCTTGGTTTCTGAGAATGGCAGTCCAGGTCATGAATAATCATGAATGGAAGGTCCTGGTGAAATGCGCATAATTGGACCTGAACATCAAGGTGAGGCTTCTTAAGTCCTACTGCCAGGCATTCCTGGAACCTGTGGGTCCTGCCCTGCAGAGAGCTTGAGTTAGTCCTCACCTCGGGCCCTCTTTCTCTTTTGCAGGTGGGGACTGAAGGGCGAGAGGCTGAGGGCTGCGGCACGGTGGGACTGCTGCTGGAGCACTCCTTTGAGACCGGTGAGTCCAGCGATGTGGTTTTCTCAACACTTATCTGGTGCCCTGTGAAGTCCAGTCTTTACAATGTGTGATCTGCCTGTTCATTAACAGTGTTGCTCTGGGGAGGGAGGAGAGAGAGATGGAACACCAGCTTCAAGTACCCTTGACCTGTAGGACCAATGCCAGACTTAGTGCTGAAGTAATGGTTTCGGAGCTTTTCTGACCAGTTGCCAAGTTTGCTGCATTAGTGATTTGATGCTTCTTTGTGGATGTGTCTGATATCCTCGTGACAGTCTTTCCAGGTTGTGGATTTAAGCATTAGCCCCATTTTTCAGAAAAGGAAACAGGCTTAGGGTAGGCTTAACACATGGTCCCTGCATCAGTGAATGACAGAACTGGAACCAACTCACACTTAAACAGCTGTGACAGGCAAGCCAGAGCCAGCTGTCAGCACTACACAGGGCTTAGTAACGAAGTCAGAGGCTCCAGAGTGTTGGCATTTGTTACAGTGAAGCTGGGGCACCTCCCCAGACCTCCCAAGCTAGACCCTGGTCAGCCCAGAGAAAATTTAGGCTCAGAGAACTTATGTAACTGTCCCAGGATCAGTACACGATAGGGGTGTCCCAGTTTGCAGATGGGAGACTGGCAGCTCAGGATGAAGAAGCCACCTGGTCACTCTTGGGCAGAGCCAGACCAAGATATGAATTCAGCTGTCATGCAGTAGGGCTGGCGTAGGGTGTTGGTCACTGAGCCCAGCTTCCCACAGATGACAGTGCCCACTTTCGGAAACGGGGCTCACTACTCTGGAATCAGCAGGATGGCACCTTGTCTTTATCACAGCGGCAGCTCAGCGAGGAGGAGCGGGGCCGACTTCGGGTGAGGTGGGGTCCCTAGGCTGGACTGGGGATGGGGGGCATCCAGTGAGCCCTTCCAGCTGCCCCCCTCCCTTCAGGTGCCCCTTCTGCCCTCCTGCCCTTTGTCCCTGCAGCTGCCCAGGCTGAATGGTACCTTGGTTACCCTCTATGCCCCTTTTGGGGTGCCTGTCTCAAGGCCTTGATCCGGGCTTCTGCCTCTTCTCCCACAGGTTCCCATGATTGGCTCCTCCTGCCTTTCCAGTTATAACAGTCATTTCATGGCCCCTTGGGAGGAGGCTTACTTGTGAGGAGAAAAGTCCTCAAGAATGGCCCTCCTTAGACAGGGTGTTCCTCCAGGGCCTCCTCATGGGCTGGGCTTCCCCCTGGCCTGGCTCTTTTCTCTTCTGCACAGTCAGTCCCACTTGTGCCCTGCAGGAGGGAGGCTGGGAGCATCAGCTTCATTCTGGAAGCCACGTGCCCAGGGTGCCCTCCCTGTGAAAGAGGGCAGGGCAAGGTTGACCCAGATAGCCTGCCTGCATTGTGCCTTTGTGGTTCACTGTCCCAGCTGCCCCCAAAGAAAATTTTATTTCCAGTGGAACTGGAGAGTGAGGCATGGGACAGATATCCTTGGTACCCACTCTGCTACTGAACTGGGGGCTCTGCTGTCCTGGGTAGCTTTTCCCCTAGAATGGGTAGCCTGGACAGACGAGGGTGGGCCAGGCCAGGAATGCAGTGTGCCGGGTGGGGAAGCTGGGACAGGCCCAGTGGGTTCATGGCCTGGTGGACCATCGTTCTCACTAGCACCCTCTTCTGCATGACCTGCAGGATGTGGCAGCCATCAATGGCCTGTACCGGGTGCGGGTCCCAAGGCAGCCAGGGATCCCTGATGGGTCTGAAGCTGGCGGCTATGTCTCTTCCTTTGTCCCTGCGGTGAGTTCGTTACAAGGACTATCCCCATCCTTGTTCCCTCTGCCTACCTTGGTCCCCATCAAACCCCTTGCCCAACAGAGGGCAGGTGGTTGGAGACTTGACCTTGCTCTGGAGGGATCACTCCAGGTGGTGGTGGGGTGGCATCATAGCAGGACATGGAACATGGGCTCACAGAAGAGTGGCAGAGAGCTGAGGGAGGGTTTTGAGAGATGCTTAGGAGGTCTTGGAAGAGTAGCTCCTGCTCTCCCTGCTCCTCTGACTTGGCTCCCCCCCCCCACCCCAGTGCTCCCTGGTGGAGTCACATCTCTCAGACCAGCTGACCCTGCACGTGGATGTGGCTGGCAATGTGGTGGGTGTGTCAGTGGTGACACACCCTGGGGGGTGCCGAGGCCATGAGGTGGAGGATGTGGACCTGGAGCTGTTTAATACATCTGTGCAGCTGCGGCCCCCAGGCACAGCCCCAGGGTGAGTACCTGAAAGGAGGTTGTGGAGGGAGGGTCCTGCTCCTGCCTGTGCTGGCATCCTGACTGGCTGCCTCAAGTCTCTGGGTCCCTGGATTCCTTACCCACTTTTTTCCCCTCCATTTGCTCCCCAGTCCAGAAACAGCAGCCTTCATTGAGCGCCTAGAGATGGAGCAGGCCCAGAAGGCCAAGAACCCCCAGGAGCAGAAGTCCTTTTTTGCCAAATATGTGAGTGGGGCTCCCCTGCCCTCCCTGCCCTCTTCCCTACAGGTCCTGCCCAGCTGGCTGGGCCTCCCTTCTCCTGGCCGGATGACCTGTGCTTGTCTCTGGCACCTGGGCTGAGTCAGGGGCGAGGGCTGTGGACTCCTGCTTGTGTCAGCTTGTGAAACTGTTCAGAGTTGAGTAGCCCTAGGAGCCCAGAAGGCCCCAGCCAGGGATTCGCGGGCATAGTATTCACAGGCTTATTTGGTAGAAAAATAGTGTGGGGTGGGTGGAGGGCACAGGCTGGGGCAGGCTTCTGTTAAGATGGAGAGGCAGGGATGGGCGGAGGTTTCAGAGGAGTGAGGGAGGCTTGGGGGAGGGGGGCACCCAGGAAGGCAGAGAGGGGTGGATCTGGGGAGGGTTGCTCAGGGACATAAGGGTGGAGGTGGCCAGGAATGGGCCCAGGGCCCAGGAAGGAAGGACCTGCACTGCTGGAAGCAGATCTGTGGTCAGAGGCCTAGAGGCCGAGGTGGGCGGGAGGCTGGGGAGGTGCTGAAGAAGCAAGCCCTACTAGAGAAGGTTGGTTTCATCCAACCTTCACGTCCCATGGCACAGGCCCCCAGGCAAGGTAGGTGACAGCAGGGTCAGTGTTATTCAGGTTGGAAGGGTGCTGGTGGCCTGTGAGTGCTGAGCACCTTCCCTGAGGCCCTCAGCAGCTCCCAGGTCAGGGTAGTTCAGCTGCAGGAAACAGAGGCCCAGAGAGGTGGAAGCTCAACTGCTCTGTCTGCTGCTTGCTTGAGGGCCCACCCTTCCCTGAGGCCCCCGGAGCCCACTGACCTGCGCTCCCCTCCCTCCTCAGTGGCACCTCATCCTGGGGGGGGCCGTGTTGCTTACGGCCCTGCGTCCTGCTGCCCCGGGGCCCGCGCCACCACCGCAGGAGGCCTGAGTGAGGACCAGACCCCTTCCCGCCTCCACCCTCCTGTACCCCGCGGGCCCTGCCCCTGCCTGTAGTGCTGTAGGGGACCTGGGCCCCTCCCCTCACGCGGTCCCCCCCACACCAACCCCCTCCCTACCCTGAGCAGAGTGGCACCCACACTTACTTCCCTTTCTGTCTCTGTTTGTCCCCCTCTGCCCTGCAGTGGATGTACATCATTCCTGTTGTCCTGTTCCTCATGATGTCAGGAGCACCAGACGCCGGGGGCCAGAGTGGCGGTGGGAGTGGGGGTGGCAGCGGGGGTAGTGGCCGGTAAGCAGCACACCCTTTTACCCAAGAACTTCCTTTACCTATTCTCCCATGTCCTTGGTCATCCCAAGAAGGACTTGCTGGCCCCCTCCTGTCTCCTCATCCCATGGAGGTAGAAAGATGCCCCCTCTCTAGGGGGCCTGTAGGCTGCCCGGGGAGCCCATATTCTCCGGGGGCCTCTCTGTTCTTTTTAGCAGAGGGGTGGCAAACTAGGGTGCATCTGCTGTGCCCCCTTTCCCATGACCCCACCTCAGCCTCATGGACTCCCCTTAAACCACAGGCTGGAGTCCAAGCTCTGGGAATTCTGTCACTGCAACCCATGGCCCACCCCACTCCAGCCCTGCAGTCTGGGAACATGCCACGTCCTCTCCAGCCTCTGTGCCTTTGTTCTGGGTGTTCTTGCCCTGCCTGGCCTCTACCAGGTTCCCAGGGCACCTCCTCACTTGGTGTGTGTCTCTGGCCTTCCACGGTCTCCCCTCTGAGGATGTGGTTGGGAGTAGCTGGCTGTGGGTGCCCTTGGGTTCCACTTGCAGCACCCTTGTCACCCTGCCTGGCTGTGGGGGAAGCACTGGGCCTTCTGGACGCCAGGCCTCTACTAGCCTTCTGGGTGTGAAGAGTGGTGGTGTTTAATCAGGAAATGACAATGGAGTCAGGGCCAAGTGATGTGAATAGAATCCCCTCCTCAGTCTTACCTGGGTCACCTTACCCAGGGTGCAGCACCTGGACAGGCTGCTGGGCCTCTGCTGTTCGTTGCCCCTTGTCTGTTGAAAAACGTTTGCATTATATTGAAGGTCCCAGCTTTCAACAGCCAAGTGTGGCTTGAGTTCTGCTGTTCACTTAATATATTTATTCAGAAATAAGAAAATGGCCATCGTTGTCGTTATAACGTTATAATTGCTATGAAGCCCTGCCAGAAGGATGTACTGGGGCCATTCAACCCCTCCTGTCCCAGCTCCACACACGTAGGCCTAACTCGGGTGAGGTCCCAGGCCAGCCCACAGGCAGCCAGCCTTGTCCCCACATCCTTGCCAGCAGACTTCTCAAACCTGGGCCAGGGTCTGATAGGTTAGAAAATGGTATCACACAGCCTGGCATGGTGGTGCATGCCTATAATCCTGGCTGCTTGGGAGGCTGAGGTGAGAGGATCACAAGTTCCAGGCCAGCCTCAGCAACTTAGCCAGGCCCTACGTCAAAAACCAAAACGGCATGTGTTGCTCCAATCCTGTGCTTCCAAAAACAGAACAGTGTGTGCGCAAGCCCTGCGAAGGGCTCTGGAGAACTCCAGCCAGCTCATGGGTGGCACGTACACGCGGTTTGAGTTGCTCTTAGAGCTCATCTGGTACTTCAGCCCAACCGGGAGGCGGCTTAGGTGTGCATGTTCTCACTGGGGCCTGCTCTTCACCTTCTCACTCCTTCCCAGCACTCCAATGGCTCACACCCCTCCCCTGTGCACTTTGGCATAAGGCCTGAGAGTTCCCAGGCATTGTCCAGTTTACATACTCTCAGTATTTACAAAGGGTCTGCTGTGTCACGTGCCTGTCAGCCATGGGGTTACCTCTTTTAAATAAGTTTTTGTAGCTGTACTACAAAAGGTGTCCCAGGGTTCCTCTGACTTCCACATCTTTCCCTGATGGTGAGAGATTATGATGCCACCACGCTCTGTTAGGTCTGTTCCATGTGGATTTCTGTCTCTCAGATTACCCCAGCAGTGTTTACTGATGCTTTTTGGGAATCTGTTCACTACTCAGTTCTTAACCTTGGTCAAATTTGCACATCCCTCTTCCCACAGCAGTTTGCACGGCCATCTGGTTTTTAATGGATTAGGCTTTGGGATCTTTATATATCTGATCACATTCTTTTCCTCTAATACTTTTGCTTGCTCTCAGGCTGGCACTTACTCTGGTATTCTAGAAGATGTCTGAGTTTCTTCAAGGTCCCCAGGACTTTGTCCTTATTAAATTTCTCTTCCCATTCCTGCTTGTCCCTGTAGAACTCATTCACTGTTTTATTTTACTGACCAGGGTTTCCAGGGTCTTCAATACATTAGGATCCATGGCAAGGAGCCTTCTGCCCACCCCAGGCTCTTGCCCCCAATTCCCCTGGCAGGGGGCAGCCTGGGGTTTTTGTGACCTGACCACTGATTTAGAGACAGTCTCTACATCAACAAGCAGATGCTCTTGTTTTGCAGAAGTGTGTTGCTCTTGACCCACCCCTTCCTCCAACATAAATTGGAAAGATTTCCGCTGGTGGGTTCTGCACAAGCTGCAGCCTCTGAAGCTAGGAAGTGTTGCAGCTCTTAATGGCTGGCCACACCCTCTAGTGTTGCAGCAGACCCAGCAGCTCACCTGGTCACTGCTGAGAAGTGGCAGGGAAATGGTGAATCAGCAGAGTGGCAGCTGGGCACACAAAGCACAGGCTGAACACAGGGTGCCTAGGGGAGCCCGCCATGCCAACGGGCTCTTTCGATTTCATTTGAAGAATGAAATCCAGAGACCAGGATGAGTGAGTATAAGAGCAGGATTTATTTAAGGGTGCATAGAAATAACCCTCACAGGATTAGAGGGGACCTGACAGGTTGCTGTCTGGGTGTGATAGGGGTTTATAGCACTTGGGCCAATGTTCCTGGTACAAACTTAACCTAAGTAGCATTGGAAAATTAATACCGCTATTGGTTAGCCCTGAATTCCACTCAGGTTTACTTTGCTTTCATTTTCTCCTAACTTTGGGAAGTGGGAGGTTGAAGTCATTGAATTGTACATGCTCAGTAACTGTATCAGGTGTCTGGAGATGCAGCACTGGAGTGCGCTTCCACAGGCATCCATGCCCGTGTGCAGGCTGGGCTGCTGTGGGGTAACAGGTCGGTTTCTCCCGGCCCACTTAGGTGCTGGTCCACCGCACCTCAGATCCACGCTGGCATGGAGGGCTCCCCAAGGCACCCTGTGTTCAGCCTGTGTTTTGTGTGCCCAGCTGCCACTCTGCTGATTCACTGTTTCCCTGCCACTTCTCAGCAGGGTCCAGTGGGTTGGCTGCATGGCTTGGTGACCAGGGAGCCACATCACCTGGACCATACCTGCCTCCTGCCTTAGGGAGCACTGAAGAAGTCAGCACTTCCCACCCTTAGTTGCTCTGGGATCCTGCCCAGGACCCTGTTCCACTCTTCTACCCCTCCAGGTCCCTTCTCTTTTCTCTGTTCCTATGTGGCCACAGCCTCAGCTCAAGCCTAATCTTGGTCCATCAGCCCAGCGTCCTCTTCGGCCTCCAGCCTCCAGCTTTCCCCACTCACCATCCATCCTCCTCATGGGGAGCTTGATACCGCAGCTTGCCTCTACTGAAGCCCTCCTGTGGCTCCCCAGCATCCACTGGACAAAATGCCATCTCCTCCTGGCATTGAGGGATACCATATCCCTTATTGAGGGATCAGTTAGGTAATCACCAGGCCAAACCTGTGGCACTGTCCTCATCTGCCCACCCCCAGCCTTATCCCTCCTGCCTCTTTCTGCCATGTTCCCTCCTCTGCTCCATGGTCCTGGCCCCAGCTCAGTCCTCATTCTCTTCTGGACTCTGTCCCCAGCATGGCTTCAGGTCTAAGACGTGAGGCCCCAGCGAGGGGACTGCCTCACCCCTCCAATGCCCTTTTCTGGTCCCTGGCATGTGAGTACTCCCCCTTTCCAATCTAGGGTTTCATACTGGCATTTGGCTGTTTTTAGCCCTAATTGTGTGGCACGTGGCCTTAGGATGTGGAAGGCTAGATTTTGGATATTGTGAGACTCCTGCTCCCCACTGTGGCTTCTGGAAATAAGTCTGTGGGCTTTTTACCCTTGGAAGACTCCAAGGCAAGGAACAGGGACTTGTTCTTGGGCCTCCAGCTGTTGGTCCCCCACCTTGGCTCACATCTACCTTCCCTTTACAAAGGGGACATACTCGATTAGGCCCAGTCCCTGGAAATAGTTTTTCAAGCAAGCCGGTGTAAGCCAGATCCCAGGCCCTTCTCTCCCATAATGCAGTCCCCACTGCATGGTCACAGGGTGTAGGAGAGACTCCTTGAATGGATGCCCTGACAACACGGGAGGGTCCGGGTGTAAGCTGGCATACCAGGAAGCTTGTGGGGCAGGATATTTATATGTTGGAAGTAAAAGTGGTTATTTCTGCAGCATTTTGCAAATCTGTCCTCCCCACCCAGTCTCCCCACCTCCCCCAGACATTCTTGGCATTATCCTTATCCCTGAGGACAGACTCAGTTCTAATAGAGCACGGGTGCTGTTCCATCTGCTGCCAGGAGGTGGTAACTGAGGGCCCCGCATGGATGAAGTGCCCTGCAGGTGGCGCTGTTGGTCCTTCAGGCCAGGTCTTCCCTGGAGTCTCTGTCCTCACTGCTGCTGGTCTTTTGAAGTCCTGGGCGCCTGTTTCTCATGGGTGAAAAGGAGATCCAGGAAGGTCCTCCACATGGACGTGCTCTCTGCTGAGAAGAGGGTGGAGTGCTGGGAAGGAGAACAAAGCAGTAGGTCTCGTCCCCTTCCCACCAAGTTCAAACTCCAGTCCAGGAGCTGATCCCTAGCCTGCCCCACGGGCCCACCCAGTCCTGGCCCTGTCACTTACATGCACCTTGCTTCTGTCTCTGGTCCCATTCCTCATTTCCTCCTTCCCAGGCTTTGGGTGGGCTTGATTTCTCCAGGGGGTATCCAGCGTCCAGGACAGACAGAAAAGAGAGAGAACAAACGTCACAAAGTTCTTTCAGCTCCTGGGCTCTGGCTTGGCAGCTCTGCCTCTGGTGGCCCACCTCCTGCACTGGGTGGAAGCCACCTCCTTCTCAGCCTGGGAACCTTGAGTGCTGGGGCAGGGGAGGGAGGGAGAGGGCACGAGCAGGAGAGGAGTAGGGAGAGTGCAGGCGCCTCCCTGAGACTGGAGGAGGCCGGACTCCGGAGGATTGAGAGGCTGGGGAGAGATTCAAAGCAAAGCAGGGAGAGGGTGTGGGGAGATTTACGGATCTCCCAAAGGAGAGAGTGGGGAGCAAGAGGGAGAGGAAGGGGAGGCAGATTCAGAGAGGATAAAGCTCAAAGGACAAGAGGAGGAAAGAAAAAGAGATAAAAGTGAGAGGGGAAGAAAAAAGGAAAGAGTGCAAGATAGAAGAGAAGGGGAGCACAGCTAGAGGGGCGCGCCCAGCGGGAGGGCTGGCGAGAGGGGGCGAGGGAGAAGAGGAAACGTCAGGGGAAGGAGTGGGGAGGAGACACGGGTGGGGAAGAAGGGAGCGAGAAACAGAAAAGAGGAGAGGGCAGCTGCAGCGACGAACTGCAGGGACCGCGCGCACCTGAAGTCGAAGCTGAGCCAGGAAGAGGCGCCAGGGCCCCTGGGCCTGCTGGGGAGAGGGGGAGGGTGAGCCCGAGAGTGAGCCCGGGAGGCGGAGAGACGAGTGGGAGGGAAGGGATGGGGGAGAGGCCCGGGAGCGGGCCCTGGGCAGGGCGCACCCCGGGGAGAGGAAAGGAGCGGGGACGCGCGGAGGGAGGGATGCAGGTCCCTGGAGCCCGCAGGCAGCGCCAGCGCCGTCCGGGACCCTGGCTCTCGCTCAGCCCAGCCAAGGCCGCCAGGGCCGGGCGGCACCGGCGAAGGCGACCCCCATCCCCGCAGAGGCCTCCCCCTGTCTCGATGGGCGGCCAGGGCTAAAGGAAGAAGACTGGGGGAAAATGAGGAGAAAGAGGGAAGCCAAAGAGACGGGCCAAGGAGGGAGGAGGTGGGGACGGAAGAGAAGAGGAGAAAGAGACGGAGGGGAGGCTGACCCAGCCGCCGAGCTCAGTGGAGGAGGCGGAGGAGATGTGCAGAGCCCAGTGCAGGGCCCTCACGGGGACGCGGAGGGATGGGGGGTGGGAGGGAGGGAGACTCAGAGAACTGGAGAGAGAGAGAGAGAGGGGGCAGGAGTCAGGGAGAAAGAGGGAGGGAAGAGGCAGAGAAGACAGAGGAGAGACTGGGAGATAAATGAAACGGAGGGAGAGAAAGAGAGATGAGAAAGAGGGCAGGAGACAGGGAGAAGACAGAAAAAGAAAGGGAGGGAGAGAGGAAGATAAGGAGAAAAAAAGAGGAGACAGAGAAAGAAAGAAGGACAGGAGGAGAGAGACAGAATGGAGGAAGAGGGAGGAGGGAGAGGGGGGGGGGGGGGCTGTCACCCCGGCCTGCCTGCGGTGCTGGGTTGGTCACTGGCCCAACACTGTAGCTGACAACTAGATAAAACATTTCTGTGAACTGGAAAAGCACCCAACTGTTGCTAAGACCACAGAGGTGGGGGTCAGGGAGGACGGTTAGGGTTAGGGGACAGTGAGGGGGACAGGCCCTGTTGACCTGGGAATTTAGACTTTCATGTGGGTGGGGTGGTTCCTGATGACAAGAGGGACCCTGGGCCCTCACAGGGGGCTGCAGAGGGCCCCCCCATGTCTCTACTCAGCTGGGGGACTGCCCCACACAGCTAGCCATCAGGAACCCTCAAGTCTTGCCCTGACCTCTGGCTGGCAGAACTGTGAGGAATGCAAGGGAAGAAGGGACCATGAGCCAGAGGGATGGCGAGGGCCTGGCTCCTCTGAGTTGGAGCCGCTGGGCGCCCAGAGTGAGCCCCTGGCACTGCAGCTCAGAGCTGGGGGTAGAGGGGGCGCAGGAGGGAACTGGAAGGGGCACCTGCTGGGCTCTGGCCACCTTCCACACAGGACAACAAGTGTCCTTCCCTGGGTCCCATCAACATCAGTCAGGAGCTGCTGACCCGCGAGGGCCAAGTCCTGGCACCTGGACAGACGTGACCCCAGTACAGGGCAAAGCACAGGTGGGAGGACCTTTGTCCTGAGGGGGGTAAAGTCATCAGTTTTGTGGAGGGGGCCTGCCAGTCCTCCTGGTCACTAGCATCTGGCCTCAGGGACAGGGAAGGAGCAGGGCGGAGGTGTAAGCGCTAGCCATCAGGAAGGACCCGAGGCTGGAGGGAGAAGGAAGAGAAGATAAAGGCCCCAAGCTCAGGGCACAGGGAAGCAGCTCCTAGTGCCTCAGAGGGGGGGGGGCAAGGTGGCCAAGGGACGCTGTGGGGAGGGAGCAAGGGGACGAAGAAGAGGAGAGCAGGGGGAAAGCAAGAGAAGGTTCTGGAAAAAACAGCAAAGATGAGGAAGGGATGGGGAGTGGGAGAGAAAGGGGGGAAGGGGCAGGAGTGCAGGGTGCCGGAGAGGAAGAGGAATTTCCCAGGAAGTGGCCTGGACCCTGCCCTCGTCCCACCATCCCCCTCCTCTCCAGGGTGGTGGCCTGGGGGCAGCACAGCAGGGAGCACACTGGGCCCCAGCAGAGTGGTGAGTGGGGAGAGCAGGGTGGTGTGAAGGTCTTCAAAAGGCAGAATGAAAAGGTGGGGAGTCAGGAAATGGGGGGGACGTGAGGGACAGACACCATGAGGGAGGGGGGAGGTGAGGGACAGACACCATGAGGGAGGGGGGAGGTGAGGGATAGACACCAGGAGGAAGGGGGTCAGAGCACATGATGATGAAGGAGGGGCTGAGGAGAGTGGGGGAGAGGAGGAGGAAGGGGGAGGAGAGGGAGCCAGGGGAGCAAGGATGGAAGGAGGAGGGAGGAGGAAGGGGAGGGGGAGGGGGAAGAAAGGAGGAGGAGGAGGATGGCAGAGGGATGAAGCGGAGGAGGAGAGTGGGAAGAGACGATGGAGGAGGAGGTGGAGGAAGGAAGGGCAGGAGGGGGCAGTGGCCTGGGGGCCCTCGGGGACACCGCGCAGGGAGGGAAGCGGAACCGCAGGTGAGGGCACCAGCTTGTGGAGGAAAATGTGTGGCAGAGGAGGGGACAGAGGAGAAGAGAGGGAGCCTGTGATACAATGAGAGAGGCCCAGGGTGGGTGGGGTGCAGAGGAAGGAGGCTGGGGCGAGGGGCCCTGGCCACCCACAGCCCCTGCCCTGCTCGAATAGGGGAGGGGGGAGGCAGAGGAAGGGGAGTAGCGGCTCAGACTGGCTCCCGCTGCAGCCTGGCCCTGTCCGTGGCTGTCAGTGCTCTGGGGGACGGACTCTACCCCAGTGCCTGCTCCAAGGGAGTGCTGCTCTCACCCACCGCGCTTCCCAGGAGAAGTCAGATCGGGACCCAAATCTGCCCCCATTTTGGTCTTCCCAGCCCCATGAGGCAATGCCAACTTGCCCTTTCCATGGCTCCAGAGGACACCTAAACCCCTTCCACCTAGAAAATTTGGAGTTTCCACTGATGAGAAGGAACAGAAAGAGAAAGGGAACTAGAAAGAGGACGTCAATGTGTGTTGATTGCCTAGCATACAGCTGGTGGTCAATTAGTGTCCCTTCCCTTTTCTGAGGGAGAATACAGGGAGCAGGAAGGAGGAGAAGGGGGAGCAGATTGTGAGAAGGGAAGGAATTGCTGAAGAAGAGCTCAGCACACAGCTGGTACTCAATAAATGCCCATTCCCTTCTTCAGGATAGATAGATAAGAAAGAAGAAACCATTGCAGAGGAAAACAGGGGAAGAAAATCAGCCTAAGGAGTGGGGTAATGGGTAGAAAGAACTAGGTATACAGTAAGTGCTCTTTAAGTGTTCTCCAGGAGAAAGGAGAGGAAAATGTCAGTAGAGAGAACAAAGAGAAGAAAAGTTGTGGGGGAAGAAGATAATGTGCATAAAGTGGCTGGCACATAGTGGGTGCTTAATAAATGCCTGTTCCCTGCCCTGAGCACAGAGAAAGAAGCCAGGAGGAAGGAACAGAGCCTGCGGGGCGTCACGGGTGGATGGTGCACACTAAGGTGCACACAGGAGGTACTCAGCACAGGCTCCAGCTGGGAGGAGGGAGCTGGGTCAGGCGTGCAGGGAGGCATGGTGCCCAGGAGCCTGGCAAGAAGGGTCCTTGGAGGCGACCGCAGGAGGGGAGTGGGGGGGGGCTGGGAGAATGGGAGGGGAGAAGCTGGCAAGGGAGACAGCATACAGGGAAGGGCAGGTGTGGGCGAATATTGGGGTGCACAGGAGGTGCTAAATAAATGCCCACACTCAGAGTGGGGGAGAGAGAGGTGGGCAGAGTAAGAGGGGCAGAGAGAAAGAGGCAGGGGGAATGAGGTGGGATGCCAATGCCGTGAACAAAGCACACAATGGCCTGGCACACCAGTAGTGCTCAGTAAGTTTGATCCTTGCCTTGGCAGAGGGCAGGGATCCCAGAAAGAAAAGAAGAGGGCAGAGGGAAAGGGGCTGAACAGCGAGACGGTATGAAAAGTGCCCAGTACACAGTAGGTGCTCAAAATGTGTTCATTCTCTCCCCCAGGAGAGGGCAGAAAGTCAGAAAGGAGAGGAAGTCAAAAGAGGGAAGGAAGCAAACGGTGGGGACAGGTGGGGACAGATATAGCGAGGAGGAGCCAGTGTTTGTGTCTGGCACACAGCAGGTGCTCAGTAATTGCCCACCTCCTTGCCAGGAGGGAGCCTACAAATCAGAAGAATTAGGTGAAAGGTACAGGATAGCAAAAGGACAGGCACAGAGGCAGTGTGTGGAAACTGCCCTAAAACATGGGGTTAATAAATGCCCACTTCCTCCCAGGCTGGAGCTGAAGCACAGGAGGAACAAGCAGAGGGTGCACAGGAAGGGACTGGGACAGGGACAGGGAGGGACGGGTGGGAGGGTGAAGAGAGCTGAGGAGGCTTCCACTGCCTACAGTAGGTGCCCATAAATGCCCTTCCCCAGGCAGAATCAAAAGCAAATAGGGCAGTTGGAGGCCCCCAAAGGAGGGCCAGAGGGTGGAGGGGGCTGAGGGTGCCACAGGCCTCTCTGCAGGCCCTCCCCTGGCCAGCCCACAGGCCTTCACCAGCTGCCAGGATGGGGACAAGGGCCCATTGTCCTGAGTCAGGCACTTCCTGGTCCAGAGGGGGAAGGAGCAACCCAGCCACCAGCCCTTGTCCCTGGATCTGTTGGGCATGATGTGGGGACCTCTTCATGTCTGAGTCTCCGTTCCTGTGTCTGCCTCTGTCCCTGTTGTTTCCCTGTCCCTGGTTCTCCCTCAGATCTCTCTCTCCTGGTCTTTCTCAGATTGCTGTGTCTGGGAGGGAGGAGGCCTGTTCCCACCACCCCCGGGTAGGCCCATCCCCTTGATCTCCATGAGGACTAGGGCTGGGGACACCAGGCTCAGGCAGAGGAGGGAGGGAGGAAAGAAGAGGCAAAGGAGCAAGAGAGGTGGGGACAGAACCGGCTTTATTCAGCAGAAAACGCAGAGGGCAGGCAGGGCTTCCATCTGCAGAGGGGACCAGACCTGGAAAGGAGGGAGGGGAGAGAGGGGTTTGGGAGAGAGAGAGTGAGGCACACAGAGAGAGTTGGGCTGGGGGCCACAGAGATGGAGAGAGATGGGATGGGGGAGACAGATAGGGTGGAGGGAGACAAAGGTAGAGAGAGATGTGGTGGTGGAGACAGAGATGGAGAGATATGG